TATCTCAGGGGAAGGCAGAGGTAAAGGGGTGTCTGGGGGAGCTATTTTGTTTGGGGGAGGCAGATCTAAGGGGAAGGGGTGTCTGGGGGTGCTGTTTGGTGGGGGGCAGGCAGATCTAAGGGGAAGGGGCATCTGGGGGTGCTCTTTGGTGGGGGGAGGCAGATCTAAGGGGAAGGGGCGTCTGGGGGAGCTATTTGGTGTGGGGGAGGCAGATCTAAGGGGAAGGGGCTTCTGGGGGAGCCCTCCTGCAGGGTGCAGGGTGCAGGGTGCAGGGCGGATGGGCCGCTTCTGGCCCGCTGTGGGTCGGCAGATGAAAGCTGGGGGCTGCTTGGGAGCTGGACGAGCCAGCCTGGGGGTCTGCTGGGCGGGCCACGGGGTAGGGGCGAGGTTCAGGAGACAAATCTGGGACGGCCAGAGAGAGGGACAGAGACCCAGAGACGCAGAGACGGATGGGAGGTCAGGCGCGAGAGCGGAGCGGCCAGAGAGCGGCGGCAGCGGCAGAGCTGGTGCGGGGCGGGCGGGTGGCGAGCCAGCGAGTGAGTGGGAGCAGTGGGGAGGGGGGCCGGGGGCGCTGTGGGTAGTGATCGAGGCACAGAGCGAGGAGGAGGCTGCGGGAGGAGAGGCTGGGAGGAAGGGTCAGCTGGACGTGGGTGAGGAAGGTGGCGGGTGGCAGGACGGGTGGGCTCCGGGCGGAGCGCCCACCCCACTGACCCCTGTCTGTCCCTGTGTGTCTGTCCTGGCGTCTCTGCAGGGCTGGCTCCACCATGGACTGTAGCTGCGTCTCCGACCTTCTCTTCGCCCCGCCCGCCCTGCCGGCTCTCTGGACCCCCGGTAACTGGCCCTGGCCCGGACCTCCCACCCCTTCCCAGCCAGCCGGCTCCTCCTTTCTGCACCTCTTCCTGTCCTCCCTCTTCTGTCCCGGTCTCTCTCACAGTCCCCTGAATGCAACCCCCTAATGAAAAACTTGGCTAAAAACTTCACAGCGAGATGTCCCTGCTACCTGCCTGCTGGGACGTGAGGGTGGGGGAGGTATCGGGGTCTGAAACGGACAGGATGCAGGGGTCTGAGGTCCTGGGGTCCCGGCTGTGTACCTCTTTGCCTGCTCCCTGCCCAGGACCTTCGGGCAAAGAGAGGCAAGGAGGCTGGAGACGGCCAGGCACACTGACGGCGTAGGGGCGGGGACCAGAGGGGGCGCAGGTGGATAGATGGACAGGGACTGCCTGGGCAGGGGGACGTGGAGACATGGCCCAGCCCGCCGGAGCCCTGGGAGAGAGGACGGCCTGCTCAGAAGTGGACACTCAGAGCTGGGGATGTGGACAGTAAGACTGGCTTGGATGTGCATTTGAGTCCAAGTCACACGCCCCACAGATGGGCTGTGTGTGTGTGCGTGTGTGTGTGCCTGCGCGCACAGACTGGGACTCTGTGCCTGCTTATGCGTGGGGTCTGAGTGTGTCCCTGTGTCATGCTTCAGTGCTTCTGGAAGAAGGGGTCACACTGGGAGAGTGTATGTCTGTGCAGCATCTGTCTTTGTGTGAGCTGGTGTGCCTGCTTGCACACACACAGGAGGCTACCTGGGTGTCTCTGGGCTGGGTGGGTCGTGTTTCTTTAGGATGTCGAGCGTGCTTACATTTTAGGACTGGGGGAAGGTGTGTGTCAGCTCGCCAAGTACAAGTACGTACCTGCCTCAGTCGGGGGAAGGGCCTGCTGCTGTTACTTCCGGGTCTGTGTCGTGGTCCAGAATGGATGTCTCGGTGTGCTTCGGGCTGTGCGGGTGGGTGCCCCCTCCGCCCCCGGCCTCTGTGTCTGTGTTGGGGTGTGGGTGTGTGTCAGGGGGCTTCTTGCATCTGTGTGTCACTGAGTGTGACTGAATTTGGGGGGCTGTCATAATGTGTGTATCTGCAGGCTGAGGTGGTGGGTCCTCTCTAGTTGTGTGTGTCTCAGCAGGTACAGTGTATTTGAGGACAGATGGTGGTTCCAGATTGGGTTGTGTATCTGCCTGTGTGTGGCCAGTTGTGTGCTGTCATCTCTGGGCTGTCATCTTTGGGGTCGCCTCTTCCCCACTCGGATGTGTTCCGGGTGTGCAATGGGCCAGAGCTCGCGAGTTAATTGAGCCTGTCACCTGGAGTAAGAAAGACCCGAGATGGGGTTGAGAGAAAAATTCTCCTTTCGGGGAGGAGACTGCCTGGCTTCTGAGCCTTCGGCAGGGAGGCGTGAGCACCCACTCACACACACCAGGCAGCCCGGATGGGACCCTGCTGCTCCTTGCCTCCCACCCCTGAAGTTCTAATGAGCCAGAGAAGGCAAAGACGTGCCCTGGGACCACAGAGCAAGTAGATCATGTGGCCGCGCTCTCAGCTCCGCGTTGTCTTCCTCCCCAGCGATGGTTCCTTAGGGCTAATCCTGCCTTCTACTCTCCTGCCTGGGCCTGGGGTCTCTGAGGGAGAGAGGGGACAGAGGACGTAGCCCGGGATTGAGCACAGAAGCGGGACCCAGGCCCTGGGGCTTCTGGCTGGGAGGTAAGACTTAGGGGTGGGCAAGACCCTCCCATTTCCATCCGGCTTATTTGGAGCATCTGGACACTGGGGCGCGGGACACCCATCTGAGTGTGAGGTGTGTCATGCAGAGCGAGCCGTGGGTGCCTGCGTGTTGCGGGTCTGGGGGGCTGCTTTATAGGGGTGGCGTCACCCCGTGTGTGCCCGTCAGGCTGACGCACGTCTTGAGGCTGTGCTCACCGGCTCCACGGCACTGTTAGCTAGCTGGGCCTTTGGGGTCCCGTGTCTCCTGTCATGGCGGTGTGGTTAGCAGGTCCCAGTTCTGAGGGGCCCGAGATGTGCGATCGTGTGTTGGGATGCGCAGTGCCAGGTGTCCGGCAGGCAAGCCTCGGTGGCACGCTGCGTGTGGGGTGCTGCTCCCCAGCAGGAGTGTGGCACTCTGGTGTGTCCGTGCGCGTGGTGTCGCCGGGTGTCCCTGGAGCGTGAGCGGACGTGTGTGTGACACGTACGCTGTGGGGATCTGCTGATGCACAGTGCGCTCAGACTGATGGAGCACAGAGGTAGGGAGGGGGGACAGGACGTGAAAGGTAGAAATACGGGCACAGACACGGGCACACCGGCCTGGCCTGGCCGTGCCAGTGTGGGGTCAGTGGAGGGCTTCGGGGAGACAGCAAAACTTAGGGGCGTTCCAGAGAGCAGGAGAGACCAGAGGCCTCCCAGGGCAGGGCTGGAAGGGAAAGCGGGAGAAGGGCTTTTGATTAGGAGGGGGTGCCCCTCCCATGTCCTCCTCACAGGGCTGCAGGAAACCGGCCCCTCCCACGCTCCACCCCGGGATGCCAAGGTAGAGCATGAGGCTGCAGGTGCCACGCCAGGGTCCCTGGATGACTGAGTTCACTGCCACTATTTGGGCAGTTTGGGGACTGGACACCAACTGGGGTACAGAGAGTAGGAATTGTGTCCCTAAAGATGCCCAAGAGACCAGGATTCAGGGGGGGCCAGCTGCCTCCTGGTTCCCAAGTCCACGCAGGACCTAGAGCCCCCGACTTAGTGTCCTGACCCGGGGCCACTCCCCTGCCTCCTGTCCCCAGGGTTTGCCTTCCCGGATTGGGCCTACAAGCCGGAGTCGTCCCCTGGCTCGAGGCAGATCCAGCTGTGGCACTTTATCCTGGAGCTGCTGCAGAAGGAGGAGTACCAGGGGGTCATCGCCTGGCAGGGGGACTATGGGGAATTCGTCATCAAGGACCCCGATGAAGTGGCTCGGCTCTGGGGCATCCGCAAGTGCAAGCCCCACATGAATTATGACAAGCTGAGCCGGGCCCTGCGGTGAGGAGGGGCAGGGAGGGGCTGGTCCCCCGCCCCCTGGGGGCTTGCCCTTGGTCTCCTGGGGCAGAATCCCTTGGATCCCAACGTGCAGGGATCCGCATGGGGTAGCCACTGTGATTACTTGTGAGTGGGAGGGAAGCAAGGAGGAAGGCCAGAAGCCAGGATCCCAGCCCCTGCTTCACCCCTGCCTTGCCACCTTGGTTAAGGGACTTCTGTGAGCCTCAGTTTCCCCAAGCTGCTGTGCTCTGTGCACTAACATGAGTCAGGGGCTCCCTCTTTACCTGCCTCGGCGCCCCTCCCCAGCATGCCCTCCTCCCCGCTCTCCCCACAGTTACTACTACAACAAGCGGATTCTTCATAAGACCAAAGGGAAGAGGTTCACCTACAAGTTCAACTTCAGCAAAGTCGTGCTTGTCAATTACCCACTGTTGGATGTGGCAGCAGCCACCACGGGCTCCCCACTCTTGCTGACCCCTGGTCCCTTTGGGGGGACCTCTGGGCCAGATGCTCCTCCCCTTACTCCCGAGGTGAGTCAGGACACTGGGGTCCCCGAACTGGGCGTTTGGTGCCGCCTCCCCAGCCATCAACCCCCCCCGGGGATGGGCAGCCCGGCTGAGCGGTGCTGCCTCCTCCCTCTCCAGACCCTGCAGACCCTGTTCTCAGCCCCTCGCCTGGGAGAGCCAGGGGCCAGGGCGCCCCTGTTCACCCCTGAGACAGACAAGCTGCGTCTGGACAGCCCTTTCCCGTTCCTGGGCTCTGGTAAGGGCCTGTGGGTATGGGTGCCGGCTGGAGGTGGGGGACACGTGGCCTGTGTCTGAGGGAAGAGGACAGGCAAAGACGGGGAGAGGCAGGACGCAGGAGGGAGGCCTAGGGCGAGGCTGTGCTTGTGCCTGTGTGTGTTTAAAAGCCTCAGGAGGATTTGGGGGGCGGGGACAGGCTGGGAGAAGGGCTTTTAGGGTGCCAAAGGACTGGGAAGACCAGGGCAGAACTGGGGAAAACCACGTGAGGGCGGAGAGTGGGCAGATGCCGCATGGGAGAGAGAATGGGCAGAAGCGGGTGGACGGCGCAGGGAGGGGGCGCCTCCCCCCACTGGAGGTGTGCCCGGCCTGACCCACCCCGTGCTCCCCAGGTGCCACTGGCTATTCCAAGCCCCCCGGCCTGCTGGGTCCTTACAGCCGCGCCTTCCCAGACTACCCCTGGAACTTTAACCCGTACCTCACCAGCCCCTTCCCCAAGCTGCCCCCCTCTCTGTACCCCCCCCACTTCTACCCCAACCCTCTGGCCAGTTCCCTGGGCCACCTGCCCTCGGCAGGGGCCGGGGGAGGCCCTACAGCTTCGCCCCTACTGGCTGCGGCGGGGGAGGGCCTGGGCCCCGAGCGCCCCTCGGGCCTGGCAGCAGCCCCTCGCCTGGCACTGCCGGGAGCCGGGGGTCCAGAGGCCGCGCTGGGCGGGAAGGACGACAGCGACTCGGAGCTGGAGATCACGGACGTCAGCGGCTGCAGCTCTGACAGCGAGGGTGACGAGGGCCTCCCTGTGCCCCCCAAGGCCAAGGCGAGCAAAGGGGGGATCGGCAGCTGAGCCCGTGGGGGGTGAAGGGTTCTGCCAGGGCGGGGATCGGGGCAGACCCTCGCGCAGCAGCCTCTGCCATCGCCTGGTCTGCCCTCGATGTCCCGCCCCAGGCCGGGGACCAGCCCTCGACCCCTCCCAGGACCAGGCACGTGGCTGCCCACCTTCCTCCCGAACCCCAGGTTGGGGTCTCCCTTCCCCCTCCAGAGTGGGAGGGAATGTGATAGCCTCCTTCCCAGGCTCCAGTGTGATGGGGGGGGGGTCCCCGCCTGGCCCGACTCCCAAAGTGCAATATGGCGCCCAGCCTCTCCTGTCCGCCCCCCCCGCACCCATGACCTGCGTGTTTGTGCGGCTGTGTCTCCCCTCGTGCCGGTCCCAGTCCTGACACCCTCCCCACACAGACCCCCTGGGACAGGGAGCTCAGAGCAATAACCCCGCCCCCAGCCCCCGCCCAGGAGGGCCCCCTCCCCACCAGCCACCTCCAGAGAGTTTACTACAAAAATAAAAGAACGGAAAGGAGTGTGAGCTGTGGGGGAGCCCGGCGTCGTGGGTGACAGTGGGGGGCTCGGGTGGGAGTGGGGGATCACCTGGGGAGTCACTGTTAAAGCACAGGAAGGAAAAAGTGGAGAAAGGCAGGGGGAGACAGACCCAGGAAGGTGATGCCAGACAGTCACAGAGGGTTCCAGAAACCACTCCAGGGCCCCCACCCCCTCTTCACACACACAGCTCTCCTTAGATAATATATATTAAAAAATAAACCTCCAATTCAGGGTATAAAAACATAGCAAAGGCACTTGGGGGTGGGGAATGGAGGGGTGCCCCCCAGGCAATACAGAGATGGCCTGGGTAATGGGGGGGGTCACTGTGGATCCCCCCCCGGAATGAAGCCCTGAGTCCCCCAGGCAGAAGGCAGGAGGGAGAGCAGGCCAAGGCCGATGGGAGGTCGGAGGGAGGCAGTGATGCCAGCTGGCCCCCCAGGCATGGCCCCCCCCCGCCCCCCCCAGCAGCCCAGCTCCCTCTCCTCAGGCCCTTGGGGTTGGAGATGCTGCGGCAGCTGTGCGGCGGTGGGTGGCCCTCAGTCTTGCGAAAGGCCTGGGGGATGTAGGAGAAGGGAGATGGGGAGAGATGCAGAGGGACAAGGAGAAGTGGGGGGGGGGGGTGAGGGGAGGAGGAGAGCGGGCAGAGCGAACACAGAAGAGCCCAAAAAGGGGAACAGCCTGAGCCAGGAGGTGGAATGGGGAGAGGCAGGGAGACGGAGAGCAGGAGGGGGCTGTGGAGAAGGGAGCCCCTGAGATGCCCACCGCGGTCCCTCCCCTCCAGCAGAGCTGCGAGCCCTCTGGGTGTCCACTCACCTGCCTGGGGCAGGGGGCCTCAGGTACAGCCAGGCTGGGGGGCGGTGTTCTCCCCAAGCTGAGACAGGAGGAGTCGCAGGCGACAAAATTCTTCCTCCACCTCCTGGATGGACGGGCCTCAATGAGAGGGGTCCCTCCACCGAGTCAGCCCCACCCTCCCCCGCCCTGCCCCTCTCCCCAGGCCACCACCTCCAGCTGCTTCATGGTCTCCTCCAAGCTGAGCAGCTTCTCCCGAATCTCCTGGGTCAGGCTCTGGGAGCCGCCCCCTGGGACCCCATCCCCTTCACGGGGAGGCCCCGCCCCACTGTCTTCCTCCGAGGGAAACAGGAGTTGCTTCAGGGACCGCACTGGCAGGGGCAAGGGGACAGAGTCAGAAGCGGGGCTGGGGAAGAGGCCAGGGGCCTGCAGGGGCGGGGGGGACCCAGAGGGGAAGGTGGGGGCCGGGCTGCAGGTGGGGCTGGGGGATGTGAAGGGGGTGTGGAGGGGACACGGAGAATAGAGGGTGTCCAGGGAGAGGCTGAACCGGAGGTCAAGGAGGGACAGAGGCTACAGAAGGAAGAGGGGCTCGGGGCCACCGAGGGGGGTGGTGCAGGCCTGGCATGCACTGGGCCTGGACAGGAGACAGGCCGCAAAGATGGGCTAGTGGCAGCCCCGCACGGATGGCGCCGGCCTACCTTTCTCAAGGGCCTTGGCCGCGAGCTGGCCCTCGGGGCCGGGCCTGCAGTAGGGCAGGAGGGTGCTGAGGATTCTCTCTGTCCGGCCTAGGGGGAGGGGAGGAAGAAGCGGGGCGGGGGGGGGGGCGGTGCTCAGTTCCTGCCGGGCCTCCTCAGGACACCTTGCCCCCCCACTCCGCGCCCCCGCAAAGGCTCACTGTCCACTGGGGGCATCTCTCGGCCAGCCCCGTTGCCGTTCTCCGAGCTGCTGAGCAGGGGTTCTCGGGTGCTGCGGGGAGGAAGTACTGGGTGACCCCACGGCCCTGGCCCTGGGGGGCAGCAGGGAGACAGCAGGAGGTGGGGGGGTGGTCCAGAAACAGAAGTTGAGGCTGGGAGATGGAGACGGGGCCAGACGGGCTGTGGTGGTGGCACACGCACGCACACGCACGCACGCACACGCGCCCGGAGCTCAGGTTCTGGAGACACACAAAGAAGTCCCCCCTGGCTCCTGAGCCCTCCAGTGTCCCCCTCACCTGCTTGGGCTGGGCCGGGATTTGGGGCGAGAGGCAGGAGCGGGGACCTTCAAGGATCCAGCAGTCTCGGTGATGAGGGAACACCAGCTGGGGAGACAGGTCAGCCCCCACCCCAGGGCAGGCAGTCAGAGCCCCCAGATCCTGTACTGGGGCCTCCCACCCCCCAGCCTGGGCCGCCTCTTCCACCCGAGCTTAGAACCCAGGCCCCCCTCACTTCTTCCGTTCTGACACGGTCTGGGCCACCAGTTCGTATATCTGGGCCTCCTGGTCCCACGTAAAAAGGACATAGAAGGCTTTGTGATCTGCAGGAGGAGGGAGAGGGGGTTCAGAGCCAGGGTCACCCCGATGTGCACCTCCCCTGAGCTTGGGCTCCCCCAGCTCACGCCCATCCCTCTGGCGCCTCCTCCCAGGGCCTCCCCCTCACATCCCCTCATCCATCAGTCCCCAGTCTGGCTCTCCCCACAAAACCCCTGGAGCGCATCTGCAAACCCCTCCTCGCTGGGCTCCAGCCTCCACCCCTGCTCCCCTACAGGTCCCTGCAGGGGGCGTCTCCGAATGCTGATCAGAGCTGGCAGCTCCTGTGTGCAAACCCCTGGGGAGCTGCGCGGCTCCCTTCCTAAGGCCCACAGTGCTCCTGGCCCCCCACCATGCCCGGCTCCGGGGCGGGGGAGCCCTCACAGCTTCCCCTTCCTGGGCCTCTGCCGTGGCCCCCCCCGGGGGCCGGCGTGCGCTCCCCAGCTCTTTCAGAGGCCCCCCCATCCCGCGGGCAGGGGCCTCACCGGTGGCCACCTCGCGGGTGATGGCGGAGGTGAGCCGCAGCACGGGCCGCAGCATGGTCTTGCCGTCGGGTGTGGGCGTCAGCGTCCGGCTGTGGGACTTGAGCAGCAGCCGTTCGTCCTGGCGCTGGAGTAGCAGCAGCAGGTCGTCCAGCAGCAGCACGTGGACCTCTGCAGAGCGAGGCCCAGGCTTCAGCAGCGCCCCCCCGGACCCCCCCCCCAGGCCCCGCTCAGCCCCGGCGCTCACCTATAGCCTTGTCCCTCGTCACCCGCCACGTCAGCGGGCCCTCGTGCACCAGCTTCTTCTTGGTGATGTCCAGGTTCTGGAGGCAGGAAGGCGTCATGGTCGGCGCAGGGCAGGGGAGGGCGGGGAGGACCACGGGGCCGGGACGGCGGGCCGGGCTCAGGACGGGCAAGCCGCTGGGACTGAGGAGGGGTTCTGGGCAGGGGGTGGCTCTCATTCCCGGGGCGCATTAGCACAAAGTCCTGGGGGCAGGAGGGGCAGGGGAAGGCCAGGGAGAAGCGGGGAGGTCAGGGCAGGCAGGGCCACCTTGAACTCGCTCAGCATGGGGTCACTGCTCTGCCGCAGGTGGGACAAGTCCAGGCGCTTCTGATAATCCTTGAGCCGCTGGGGCAGGGAAGGGAGAGTCACGGGGATGACCCAAGGGCTGCGGCTGACCCACAGTGACCCCGAAGGGACAAGCCAAGGGCCAGGCCTGACCTCCAGAGAAGGGGCCCCGAGGTAGACAAGACAAAGGCCCGCCCAGGCCCCCCACACGGACGCCCCCTCCCTCTGGGCCCACAGCCAGGCTCACCAGCAGGTCCTCCATGTCGCGCACAGCTTGGTTAACATGGTGCAGAATTTCCCGGCAGCACTCAGCTGCCCGTTCCACTTTCTCCCGTTCCGCCGGCTCTTCTGTGGCAGAGGAGAGACGAGCCCCGGTGAACCCCGAGCCAGAAGCTCCTGGCCCCTGCCCCGCCATGGTGAGAGATGGGAGAGCCGGGGCCCCGCAGCGTGGGGCCTGGCCCTCTGGCACCTGTGTTCTGCCCAATGCTCTGCAGGAGCAGGGGGTACTTGGTCAGACGCTGCATCTCCGTGGGGATCATATCCTTCAGCTGCAGGCGGCGGCACCGTGGGCGGCTCTCGGCCTCCTAGGGGCAGAGTGGCGCTGAGGTGGCCCGTACTGGGGGCGCCTCGGGGACTGCGACACCAGCCCCCTCCCCCCTGGGACCCTGGCTTCCCCCTCACCTGCACAAAGGCACAGAACCGAGGCTCCTTGCGCTGCTTGGCTTTGAGCTGCTCTAAGGCAAATGACTGGCGGCTGCAGAAGCGGGAGGAGATTTTCTGGAACCAGTTGCCTTCAGCATCATCAAACTACAGTGAGATTCAGGCCAGGGAGGGTGTCTCAGGTGGGATTGGGAAGAACAGGGCCTCACGCGGGAATAGCAGCCTCGACAGGAGGACAGGGTGAGGGGCCCAGACCCCTGGATCTTGATGGGATTCCAGGTCCCTGGCTGGGAGGAGGGGACCCCAGGGGGGCAGGGGCTGGGCGCCCTCACCCGGGCCAGCAGCACATCTCCGATCTCCTCAATGAGGTCGCCACTATCCTGCCTCCGCTTCATCAGCCGATCAAGGAACAGGGCTGTTAAGAGCGGTGAGGGAAGGGGGTGCTCTGTCAGGGCCCAAGAGGTGGTATGTAGAGCTGATCGGGGGGTTGTGGAGGTTGGGCTGCAAGTGTCTAATCCTTGGGGCCAATGGGCTGCCCCCCCAACCCCCACCCATGCCCTGCGCTTGTTGATGTGCCCCCCTGGAATGTGAGCTCTGGGGGTCTGGCGTTGCCCCCAGGGCTAGAAAAGAAGCTGCCCGTGGTAGGCACTCAAGGAGAATGTGCTAGACTCCAGGTCTAGCCGCAAAGGCCTTGAGGAGGGAGCCAGTGGTGGGGCGCACAGTGGGCCATGGCCCTGCACTCACAATGCACCTCGATGAGCTCGTCCAGGCTGGGGAAGATGTTCTGTAGCTCCTCCAGGGAAAAGAAGCCCCCTTCCGCCATGGGCTGGTAGAAGAGGTCATGCAGCACCCGGAGCATGCGCACGTGGGCGGCCTCTGTCACCAGCAGCTCTGTGGGGCCACCG